GCAATTTTGGAGGTGATAGAAATGTTCTAAAACTGTATCATGGTGGTAGTTGCACAAATCTGTTAATTTACTAAAATAATTGAATTTTACACAGTCAGCGAATTTTGTGGTATGTATATTATGCCTTAATAAACCTATTAAAATCATTCTTTTTTTAAAAAAACTAAGACTTTCTAAGCAAGACAGAAAATCCAGAAGACACAGAGAAAAAAATTGAATCAAATTATAAATTTCTTTGCATGGAGAAAATAAAATTAAAAGAAATTTGTGAAGCCCAAGAAAACTTTGGAACATACAAAATTTCCTTATTATGTAAAATTGTCCAAAAATCAATCAATAAATTTAAAAAAAGCCCAACAGAAAACTGGGCAAAGGATATAGGCTATTTACAGAAGAGAATATCCCAATAATCAATAAATATGAAATATTTGCTTAAACTCACTGATAATCAGAAAAACGCAAATTCAATAGCAATGTGATGAACTATTTCTCCCCCTGAAATCAGCAAATATAATTGTTTTTAAATCAAGGATTTAGAAGATTCTATGGAAATAGATTCTCTCATATACTGTTATCAAGACTGTAAATTATCACAACCTCTATGGAAAACAGTATGGAGATTCCTCAAAGAACTAAAACTAGACCTAACATTTGATCCAGCAATCCCACTACTGGATATTTACCCAAAAGAATAAAAGTCATTTTATGAAAAAAGACACCTGCACTCGAATGTTTACTGCAGCACAATTCACAATTGCAAAGATGTGGAATCAACCCAAGTGCCCATCAATTCACTAGTGGGTTAACAAAATGTGGTATATGTATACTATGGAATACTACTCAGCCACGAAGAAAGACGAATTAAGGCCTTTTGCAACAATTTGGATGGAACTGGAGACCATTATCCTAAATGAAGTATCTAAAGAATGAAAAAACAAACACCACATGTACTCATTATTAAATTAGAAATAACACATGTGTGCACAGAGGGAAGTAAAACTCAGTGGAAATCAAGCAGGGGGAAGGGGGGAGAAGAGGATGAGCAAACACCTACCTAATGGGTACAATGAATACTATTTGGGTGATGGGCACACTTATAATCCTGATTTAAGCACAACAAAAGTGATCCATGTAACCAAAAACATTTTTAACCCTGTAATATTTTGAAATAAAAAAAGGACGTAACAAAAAATAAAATAAAATAAAAAAAGATTGTGAATGGACGGTGGTTTGATACATGTATTAACATTCAAAAAGAGCATGTTACATGCTTGATGACAACAAAAATCCACTTCTAGATATCTATCTTAGAGAAACAATCCTTCATGTGATCAAGGAGACATAAAATTTACTGTTTATTGCACCAGAGTTTGGAATAACGAAAACATTTCCAAATTCTAAAAGAAAAACTGATAAACTTGTCTTGATTATAAAAATTCTGTACATCAGAAAACTGTAAAATATGTGAAGTGATAACGTATTGCAAGATGACATTTGAGTATTGTGCATGGCAATATGGGCATATATTGCTATACCTCTTGGGTAGTTTAAATAATGCAGTACTTCCACTGTAGGTGTTTATACTGTAGATACATTCTCACATATATGTCCAAGATGATGTATAAAAACTGTAATAGAAGAGAAAAGAAATATTCTGAATTTTTAGATAGAGGAAATGTGAATTGTGGTATAGTCATACAAAGGAATAATATATAGTGCTTCAAATGAATGAAGCATGGACTGGAAAAAATTATAAATCACAATGCCAGTTAGTATGTAGAAAGTCACAAGAACCATTACTGTCGCTATAAAAACAAAGTATAAACTAAACTAAATGGAAAAAAAATATAAAAGAATCTTATTTTTAAAGACTTCAAAGAACCATAGATGCAAAGAAGTCTACACATCCCAAATTCCAGAGATGGACAAATTCTGCTTAGGTGAGCAGGGACACTCTTATCTCTTGGGTCATCTGCTGAATTTCAACATGGTGGAAGATCAGGCGGGGCACAGAAAGAAGATTGTGATGGGGTAAGGAGAAACCAGCAAAGTTTTAAATAGTCCTGTGGGCTTGTGTGATGGATTGAAATCTACAGAAGTCCCCAATAGAATGTATTTCTAATTTCCCCTGGCAGCTGATTCTCCTTCCAAAACTTTTGCTGAGTGGTGGTCGTGTGGGAACGTGGGAGGGAGGTAGAGGGCAGAAAAACATCTCTATAGGTTTGTGCAAAGATCAACAAGGAAATCCAGTCACAAACAATACTTTCACTCATCTTGACTTAATCAGCATTTATAATTGACATATATATTGACATCCAATAACTACAGAATATATATTTCTTTAAATTGCACAAAGAATATCCATGAAATAGAAC